TCCTAGCGTTGCTCTTTACCCCACTGTGGGGCTCCGTCCTGGCCCCCCGAGCTGCCACCTGTGCCCCGGGATGCGGCTCATCTTGGGAGGGAGACAGAGGGGACGCGCTGAGACTCGTCAGGGTATCTGGCCAAGCTTTTAATAAAGCTGGTGCTACGGCTTAAAAATAGCCCCTTGAGCAGGGCTGTGACCGTGGAGGGGGCACGCTTTGAGCTTGGCCAGCTCTGACACAGCTTTAGGACAAGCTGCTCCTCTCCACTGGCCAGGACTAACGCTCCCATCCCACCAGGCTGTTCTGACTGTTAATTAGTTAATGACCGTGAAGTGCCTCCATGTTTGTAACCACTGGATCATCCAGCAGTTAGCTGTAAACGTCTGGCTGTAGCTAGAAGACACCGCAGGGGATTTAAAGATCTCATCTATCTTTTTTTTTTTCTCAGGCGAGCAGGCGTCCTAGCCAAAATCTCTGTGCCCTGTGCCGTGGCAGGCGTGAGCGAAGGGCTGTGCTGGGCCAGAGGCTGCTTAAGGACAAAGCAGGACACGGGCTGCTCCGGGGGATGCAGGGATGCTGGGAGCAGCAGGACCGGGGTGAGCAGCAGCCGGGGGTTATGCAAGCACAGCATCTCCCTGCGCAGATTTCCAGGCTGCCGGCAGCTGCAGCAACCCTCTCCTCCAGCTCCTGGCCAGCAGGCAGAGGGAGTCCTTTCCCTGGAAGAAGATTTTTAGCGAAGGCAGCCAAAGGGAGATCCCTGAGCAGTCCTGCCGGGACCCCCATCCACTGCAGAGATGTTTACATGCTTTGCTCCCTAAACTGGAGTCACCCCGGCTCGCTGTCCCCCACGCTCCTCAGGGAGAGCTGAGGAGGGAAAAGCTCTGGGGATGCTGGATGAACCCAGCGGGTGGACGAGCAAAGGTCGTGCTCTGCAGCCCCCCACCTCCTCCCCTGAAACACCATCTGGGAGCTCTTTTTCTCCCTTTCAGCAGATGGTTTAGGATTACTTTCCATTCAGACAGTGGCTTGGCTGTCACCCGGAGATGAGATGTGGCAGTTTCCCAGAGGTTTTACCCTGGGACAGGCGTGGTGCTAAGGTGCAGCCACAGCATCTCTGCAGGAACAGAGGTGCCAAAGTGGGACCTGAGGTGCTACAAGAGGTTGAGAACCCTCCTGGGCTGCTCCAGCCTACTCGGATCTGAGGCTGGTGAGCAAATGGCAGGAGAATCGGGTAGAGGACACTTGGAACGTGCAGGTCAGCTAAGATCTGCTTGTCCCCATCTTCACTCCCAGCAGAGGCATCTGACCCCAGACCAGTGCAGAGCTGCAGGACGTTCTCAAGATCTGCCCAGGGTTTAAATGGGAGCAGAAAGGTGGAGCTGCACCAGGGCAGGTCGCTGAAGGCTGGAAGGTGCCTGCAGAGCCTGAGAAACCCCACCGCAAAGGCGAGCGTGCTTGTGAGCAGCGTGGCTGAGCTCAGGGTGGCTCAGAAGTGCACCCTGCTACAGAAACCGCGTGGGCAGGAACGGGGAAGAAGAAACTGGCCTGTGTTTCTCTGTGGAGCACGCTGTGCCTAATTCTAGCGAGTGCGGTTAACCCTGGGGTTTCAAAACCATCACGCTTTATCTGCACAGCTTAGTAACGAGAAGGAAAATGAGGCCTTGTGATGTTCCCATGACTGGAGCAGGAGCAGAGGCTACATGAGGTTGTTGCTCATAGTGGTTGCCCCTTCCCTGCTCCTACAGCAAAGCCTGTGTGCCAGCCAGGTTGGTAGCCTTTGCTCGCGTAGTGTGTCGGTGTTAAATAATATGCCAACAACTGGCCTTTTGGAGGATTTCGGAAAGAATGCTGTGGAACGATCTTTGGCTGCATCAGCACCTTTCTGTGGTGGTGTCGAGCCAAGGACCAGAAACTGCCCAGTAAACACTTTGCTGACGACAGGAGGGAAGAGGCAGGAAAAGAAACCAACCTCTTTGGTTTCATGGATTCAGTACAGCTGATCGGCTCCAAAATCGGTAAATTCTGGCGTGTGATACTGACAGGCTTGTTTCTGCAACTTCTGAAACCTTCAGAGTTAGTATGAGCATCGCCAGAGACTGGAGCTGCCAACAAACCTCTCTTGCTACCAGGAGAAGGAACTTCTAACTATTCCTCATGGCACAGCTGTGGTCCTGCTGCCGACAGCCAAGCAGCTTTTTGCTTCCTTGTCCTCATTCAGACACGCTTCCTACTCTGCCACACGAAGTGAAGCCCCCAGCTCAGCAGCCCCACAGCACGAAACGAAGCAGCCGCTGCAGTGGCCTGTGCAGAGAGCAGCCTCTGTCCCTCTGCACCCAGCAGCGACACGGCTACGTGCAGCCAACCTCTTCAGCCAGGCACTAGAGTATCCTCAGCCCCAGTTCCTCACAGGCAGCTCCCAATCAGCCGCAGGCCAGCTGGACTTGCATAACCTCGTGCTTTCCAACCCCCCCTTCCTCGCCACCAGCTCCCAAAGGACGAGAAGCTCCGCTCAGACCCGAGCTGTGCTCAGCGCAGGTACCCATGTGGGCACAGTGAAAAACCGTCTCGAGTATTTCACATCCCTGCTCTTACCTGCCTCCCTGAAAGCAAGAAAATCTGATAGAGCTGCTTCATTTTATATTGTCCTTCACAGCGCTTCTCTCACCGACTCTGGCTCGTCAAGCAATTCAAGGCAGAGTTACAGTGAGGAACTGGAAGGAAATTTAAGATGTTGCTCCCCAGCTGTCGCAGTCACGCTGCTCTGGTCCCTCTTCCCCCATCCTCCAGCTGCACGTTCCTGCCTCATCTCTTGAACTGGCAGTGACGTTTGATGCATGCCGGTTCAGGGAGTAAAACTAGCAAAAAACTGGCATTAAAAAAAAAAAAAAGGCCAGATTTCTCCTGGTTTAGCTGAGCAGGCTTGGATCACACTGGACAGCTTATTTAACTGGACTAAGGTGTGAGCTCACTGAGCAGGTAAGAGCCAGGGACCATGCATGGGCAGTGAAGCCCTTTCCTCTAACTCCCTGGAGGGGTAAATCCCCATGGTGAAGTCACCTCCCTCTGCTTCGGGTGGTAGAGGTAACCTTTTTTTTTTTTCTCAGGTGAATCTGATTTTGTTCATGTTTTCCCTCCTGAGGAGTGGGGGGGGGGGTTAATCTTCTGACAAGTTGATTTCTCAACTTCATTGCATCTCTGCTGCAGGGCACAGAGGATTTCATCTCACACAAGAGGGGTGCCTGGCAAGGTACAGCACTCATGTAACCCTGCCCCATTGGGTTCTCCACCTGAAACTTCTCCAGATTCTTGGCCGATCCTATCCAAACTCCAATTTATTTGTCTCTGTTTTGCATATCTCCATCTGCACTGCTTCTTCTCGCACATCTCCATGGAGATGAAGAAACAAGGCTGGATAATGCCATTCCGGCATCGCTGACACGAGTCCCACCCGGTGCCGCACGAAACCAGCACCCACCCTGGGAGATCCCAGCGGGGACCCAGTCCTGCTGCTCCGAGCTTCATCCTGATGTGTTCCCACGGCACAGCAGCATCCTTCCCTGAGGGCACGGGGTACCACCCTGCCCGGGGGGAGCAGCAATACCAGCCGTGGTGCTAAACAGGAGTCAGCCCCAGCTGTGCACAGAGTGGGGGGCACAGAGCACATCCTCCTGCTGGGGGTTTTCATGTTCCCAGCTGCACCTACTGACTTACACGTAAAACAAGCCAGCATTTACGTGGTATCTGAGCTTCAATTGTTTTGCTTCACATTTAAAAACGCTGCATTTAGCCCCCAAAATCATTGGTGCCACTTTAAACGCGTGCGTGGAAATTATCCGCTCGGTAGCTAACATCCTTATAGCAGTGTTATGCACAGCTCCATCTGCTCTGGTATTTCTCAGCTGTTTCTGTCCTCAACGTAACGGCCAGCTTATACACAGCTAACAACTCCGGAGCCTGAAAGTGAAAAATTAATCCAAAGCCTGCTCTAAGTATTGATGCTCTGGTTGACCGGCTGGGATTTTTTTTTAGTATTGGGAGCTTTCTGTTGGCCTGTCACCACAGCGATTAAAAAAAATATACGTTCCAGTAGTCTCTCTTCATCATGGAAAGTTGGGACAAATACTCTGCTGGCATAAATCGATGCAGTTCTGTGGAGGTCAGTGGGATGATGCTGAGTTACACCAGCTACAGGCTTGGCCCATCCTTTCATATACATTTGTGTCTTGTCCCTCTCTCTCAAGGCCTTCCAAGAGCATGTTTCAATGGCATTGAAAAGGGCCTTTCCTCCGAAACACCTTTATTTATAGCTTTCAGATGGAGACGGGTCTACAGAAAGAGAGTGGAGGAGCACACCAATTCCTGCTTATGTTTGGGTAACTCTTTTCCTCCTATCAGCTAAATGTCAATGAACCTCCTAGGGAAAAATCTTCGTTCCCATGATTTTCTGGCTAACAGCTCTCCTCCATAGCTGCAGTGTTTCATTCTGACTACCTGTTTACAGCACTTAGCTCGCAGGTGCAACTTTTTTTGTTTCAGAGAATTCTAGCCAGGGAAGAACTGTACCAAGTCCTCACTTTAAGCACAGGGGAACTCAGGTGCAGAGAAATAAAAGGACATGTTAAGGTTTGCAGCACTGGCAGCATAGCTCTGCCCAGTCCTCTTTATTTCTGTGGCTGTGAGCTGTATTTATATACACTGGATTTTTCTGTTTTCCTTTGCAGCTGGTCACTAAAGACAGGATTTCTAAATGAGCCTGAGAATTACACATGCAAATCCCAGCGGCCTGGAATTGGGAACATCTGAGCAACAAATTGTCTTTGCTAAAGATGGTGTTGGAGCCAAAAAGCCTACAGATTTTGGGCCTGTTGTAAGTACTTTTAAAATCAAGATAAGCTGGTCTTCTCCCTTGCTGAGCCTCACTGCTGGTGCTTGCCAGGTGCTAGTTTGCTTCTCAAGGCACCTTCTGCTTGAGCAGAGAGGGGACATGGGGACAGAGAGGGGGCACAGCCTGTCACGGCTGCTCCGCGGCGTGCCCTTCCCTCTGGTCCGCATCTTACAACGCGTATTGGCTTTACATCTGAACCCGTGTCCTCATTCAGGCTTACAGGCAGCAGGGAGGGCTGAAGGGCCAGGGTGTGCGTGCAGATGTTCAGGCTGTCAGGAGGCACTGCATTAAGTCAGAGCTCGTCCTGCTCGCCAGCCCTACTCGGTGTTCCCATCCTCCCTCAGCTCTCCTCATTCATCGGTTTTTAAGCCACCCAGAACGACCCTCGGCGGGGGCTGAGCCGCATCCCCCCGACACAGGGCACCTGGGATGAGGAGACAGGAGGGTCTGCTTAGACCTGACCTTCCCGTCCTTCCCCCCAGAGACAGGGAAGCATCAGCATCACGCCTCCAGCCACCAACCCCTCTGCCAGCGCCGGGCGCTGCGGTCAGGTTTTTGTCCCCGTGCTGGACAGACAGATTGCTGCTGCACCCGCTGCTGCCCAGCACCGTGAGTTGCAGAATTGCTGCTCTGTGCAGGCGTTCAGAGATCAGGTGCCGCTGCTGACTTAACCACGGGCCAAAGCCTGCAACAACGTTCGCGAACAAACAGGGAGGGGGGGCCACCGGGGAGAGATGACTTTTCTCAGGAGGGAGGTGACATTTCAATTTGACTCATTCCTGTCTCGCTGTGACTGTCGGACCAGCAGTTTTTGGCATGCAAACAGCTCCTGGATTCCCCCTACCTTACATATATATGTATATATTCCCACTCTGCAACTACCCAAAAAAACCCAGTAATATGAAATTTTCACCCTGCTCCAAGGTGATGCAATGGGTTTAATTATCAGTGGGTTAAACCCATCTTGGTTCTCTCCCTGTGGGCTGCCTGCTACCGTGGGCAAAGCAAGCAGGATTCCTTCCGTGACTTTAAACGTCCTCCCAGAGCCAGTGGGCTACCGAGCTCTCAGCCAGGGTCCACTGCAGCAGTGGGCACCCTGGGGACGACGGCAGCTTGCCACAAGTGTCAGCCCTCAGCTTTCCCCAGAGCTTGTCAGTGTGCGGTTTTACCCCGTAAGGGATGGGCAGGGATGCAGAGGAGAGGAGCTGTGGTCAGGGCAACCCCTCCTGTAAAACAGGTACCAAAACAGGGGTGCCTGGCACAGCTGAGCTGGGATTTGGGGATATCCAGTGCTGCTGGAAAGCTGTTGCAAAATATAGTATTGCTTTGGGGTTTCTAACAGAAGAAGTGGGGTTTGGTTAGGACTTGGGCACGTTCCCATTAGAAGAGAAGAATACTCACTCCTTTAAAAGGGTAGGGACAAGCTCTCCTGTGTTTTAAACATATGACAAAGTCCTGCTAAGTTTCAGAAGAGCTGGGTTTTAAAACCAAATCAACTGGATTATAATTTTTAGCTTAACCCAGCATTTCCCAGCCAGGCCACGCTCGTCCTGCTCTTTATTCCCGCTCGACCAAACGCACCCGCACGCGCTCTTGGAATTACTTACATTCCCTGTTCCCCATAGTGATTGTAAAATTCCATGTGGCTGCAAGCCTGGATCCAGCCCACGATCCAGGTCTCCTTCTTGGGGAGAGGGGGCACCAACACTTGCGCAGAGGCTCGGAAGTGAGGGGTCCGGTAGCGCAGGACCACGCTGGAGGACTCGTCGATGCTGGTGGGAATGGGATCAATGGAGGCTTTAACTTCAATCACTGAAATACTCTCCCGGAAAACTTTGGATTTGCAGCTAATACTCTGAATACAGCCCATGGCATACCCCGAGTACAGTCCGACGAAGCTCTGAGGGTACTCCAGCAATCCTGGGGAATATTAGGCATTGAAATTATCTGGTGCTAGATCAATTACAGATCTTCTTGGTTTGTAATCTCAAAACTGATATCCATAGGATAGAAAATTCATCACGTAAAGCCTTAATTTGAGTATCTGTCTTATAAGTACAGCTCCTATTTTTGAGGTTAGCTGCACTTCAGAAGCAAAAGGGCCTTTACAATTTTTCCCCCCTTTTAATGACCCATTAAATCTCTTGCTCAAATAGTCTTTGGGTTAAAAAAAAAGGTCTCTTGAGTTCAATAAATAACGGTGGTGTTCTTAGCTGATATATTTAGTCCTTCCTTTCCTCAGATGCGGTCTGTCATTCACCGTCAAACGTAGGACCAGCCGGTATTTCCCTTTATTCTTTGGATGAAAAGCAGAATGTTGATAGACACATCTATATAAATAATGAAATAGTTTTTAGCCCCAGCTTGTCACAACCGGTGTGGATTTCCACTTCCTGACTTGCAGTTGTTCATAACTTCCTTTCGCACAAAATTACAATAATAACCGAAAGAAACGACGGGTGGAAAATGCAAAAAGTAGCCAAATCTCCGATGTCTGAGGCTCCTCCGCCGGCGATGTCAGGGCTTGGAGGGAGGGGGGATTTATCTTTTTTTTTTTT